AACAGTATACATATTATATAAGTAACTCGAAGTTGAATGCAGTTACCTATGGTAGTAAATCCTCGGTAGTTGCAAGGATATCTGGTATTTTAAGTGAGTCACTGACTACATCAGTCATGCGATCAACGGGTAAACTTGAAGAGAACTGCCAAAAAATAGATGCAGTGAGTCACCCGTCACCACGTACAGTACCTTCTATGGTGGTTCACATCCTGTATACTGTATAAGGGCATGTTAAAAAGGGGGTTAACTTATTCTACGATAATTTAAACCACCTCCCCTAAAATTTGTCTTGGAAGGGGACACAAAATATATTAACTGATGACGTTGACTGTAGTTGGTCTTTTAATAAAAACATTTCCAACCGGTCGTAGAGGAATCTTTTTTGGCGCCCCTACTGTATCTCTGGATCACGGCCACATGTTGACTTTATATGATTAAATATGCTATAAACCTCGGGCAAGAATACTATTACTGCATAACAAAATCTACAGTAATTCAGCATAACCTTGAATAAACTTCTTCAGGTAAGTCAGTGAATGAAGGCGGCACTGTAATAGCCTAGGTAGGAAACATTTAGATGGACTACCTTACCTAAACATTCCCACCTTTTTATTGCTGTATAATAATGGGTGTATTTTTATTACATAATCTTCTAGACCTTCTTCATTTATTTAAATTATTTTTTGTATAGAAATTTAACAAAGTAACATTGGCACAACAGCGACGGTGAATACAGTGACGCTTCTGGTGACCTTATGTTTCTTGTTTTGTGTTATGACAAGTTTAGTCGTGAGCGTTTGTTCTGCCAGTGTCTACAGTATGTTAGTTCCAGGTTGTAATGTCCTCTGACTTTGAAAGATATATATATATATGAATGAACCAGGATAAGCATATGACTAATAGCTAATAATTTAAACACACTATTATTATCAGCCCCGCGACCCTGAAGCGAGAGATAGCTTGTAACTCACGCAGGCGGTGTAAAAATAGTTATAACAGTTGTACGCCAAACCTGCCTTCAGGAGTCTCATTTTATTAATTTCTGGTAAAGGTACTTAAGATATTGCTATTAGAAGTTAATACCGTTGTACACGATAATTATCTTACCACCATTATATGATGACTATTTACACAATATTTTATTATAATCACCATCACCACCACCATCACCATCATGAACACTATCACCATCAACATAACCGCCTCTGCTGCCGCCGTGATCCCCCCCACCACCAACCACCATAACCACCGCCAATCATCATCAACCATCACCTCCACCACCACTACCACCATCATTATCACCATTATTACCACCACTAACCACCATAACCACCAACACAACCACTACCTGGTTAGTGAGAGATATGAACCAGAATGTCAAGAAGGTGAGTGTGTGAGAAGCATTTTAATTTGTATCTTTAAGACTTGGTCAAGCGAGTCATACAACGTTGTGTGTGTGTGTAGCCCCTCCACACATAATAAGGTGTTATTATAAGCCTCCAACAGCAGGTAGTGTCCCAGTACTGCCAAGGAATGTACTGCACACACACACTATTACTGCTACTACTACTACTACTACTACTACTGCTTTGCTGTCAATCGGAATCGAGAATGACGATCATCCAGCTATGATACAATGATATGAGTTATTAGGGATTTCACCTTCATTGGTGAGTTTTGAGGTGATTATAGAGGCCAATACGGGACCGGCAGAGTCGTTCACATGAGCTGCACTTGTGGAGGGCTACATGGAGTGCGGGAGGGGCGGTGGCAGCTTTTTTCCGGCGTTGGCGCTTGTCTACCTCGGTTTGCAGTCGGGCTAACTCGAAAGTATTGACACCTGCTCGTGTGGTGCTCCTCCAAGCGTTAAGACGTGGAGTAATCGACTCCCAGGTGAGGGGGGTCGATTTAGCACCTTTTAAGGTTTGTCTTAAGACTATCCTTATACCTTTTTAGCTGCCCGCCGGCGTTACGCTTTTTCCCAGCTGAAAAGAGATGCCCCGCACCCTCCTCAAGAGTTACAGCTGATTGGCTGTTGCAAATCTGTTCGATTTCGTCCTGAAATAATGATACATTTCTAAATGAGTTTATTCATAATCGTTGGGACGACCGTTTCTGACGAGAAAGATATTTAGCTAAATTATAATTAGAAAGATGTATTCATTCATTATTTCAAACATAAGCGCATTGGAAGTTTATCAGAAATCTTATACATGAACATTAACGGTTAAACTCTGGTAGCTAATTCACGCTTTCGGAGGACGCATTTAATATATACGTACTTAGTTTTACACACAATAAGGCATATGAAGTCAAATTGCGTATCAGTAATACTACATTATGCAAAAACTAACATTTTAAAAGATCAGAATCACATTGAAATACTACATGGCCGTCAGCAGAGAAGGGAAATATGTTGACCGAGGCCTTGGTTAGGTCGATGAAAGCCATGTACAGGTCACGACACTGTTCTCTGCACTTTTCCTGTATCTGGCGGGCAGCAAAGATCATGTCAGTGGTGCTATGTGATGGTCTAAAGACACATTCAGACTCTGGGAGGAGGTTTTTCGATAATCTTGCCAGCTACAGACAGCAGCGAGATCCCGTGGTAGTTGCCACAGTCTGACCGGTCTCCCTTGTTCTTATAAATATTGACGATGGAGGCGTCTTTAAGAGCTTGGGGGATTTCCTCCTTTTCCCATATATTCTCCAGAAGAGAGTGGAATTGGCTGGTAGGCAGAGGTCCTACTGCTTTATACACCTCTCCTGGGATTCCATCAGGCTCTGAGGCTTCGTTATTTTTCATCTGTTTGATGGCAGTAGCTACCTCATCCAGGGATGGAGGATGGCTGAGGTGGGTCAACTCTGGATGCTGAGTGACCTACTGGGTAGTCAGGACATCCACATCGGTGTTTGGGTTGAGCAGTGAATGGTAGTGCTCTTTCCAACGCTGAAGGAGGCCTTCATCGTCTTTAATTACGGAGTTACCATCAGATCAGCGGAAGGAGCTACGCCACGAGTGATTGGCCCATAAACTGTTTTAGTTGAATTGAAAAATTCGCACATCTTGTGCTGATCTGCAATTTTTTGTGTTTCACATGATTTATTTTTAAACCAGTCGTTCTTCAGATTGTGAAGTTCCCGCTGAACCGCAGCTTTCTTCTTTCGGAAAGTATCAGCTTTGGTCTGAGACTGAGGGTTGGTCTGCCAGTCAGTTAAAGCAGCACATTTATCATCAATGAGTACATTGATTGCCGGGTCATTTTCATCAAACCAGCCCTGGTATATTCTTTCACACACACACACACACACACACACACACACACACACACACACACACACACACACACACACACACACACACACACACACACACACACACACACACGTCCATTAGGAGTGCGGAGGTCTCAGAGATACTTGTTATTTCTTCTCTGTAAAGTTAATGTAAATAACTCAGTGAATTAGTTATGCTATTCTCAGTTTACAATTTCTATGCCATAGATTTAATAAGGTAGTTAAATGCGAGCTTAGAGTCTGTGCCAGTAATGACGGCGGAAGGATAATTATATAACTTCTAAACAAGACAAAAAAAAATCTATTATATACTCGGTGATTAATACTGACAAGAGTTTCATTTATGCCGGAAACTTGAGTAAACTTATCGGTACTCATATACAGTCAGCCTTCCTCTGGAAGTAAGTATAACATAAACGCAACTAGGAACATTCTTAAAAAAACTAAAAAAATAAAAATAATCTAGAAAAAATTTATTATGATAAGTCAAGGCTGAGTGTACACGGTGGCATCTGTTATTCATCACATCAACCTGCAAGGAGTCGAGACCTGGACACATACAGTCACAAAACAATGGAGAGACTAACATCCTTTGCTTACGTTCTGCACTAGTCTCCCTTATCACGGTCAACCATTACAGGGTCGAGCGTGAGTATGAGGTCATCAGGGTTAAGTATGGGGCTATTATGGCCTAAATATGATTCAATAATGATGTAAGTATGGGATCATTGTGGCGTAAAAATGGTCATGGTATAGGGGGAGATATCTACCAGGTGTAGGACCAAGAACTTTAGGTCAGTCCTTCATCTCCTTGACCTGGTGTCATCAGCGTTTGTCCTGGGTTTTCAGGTCACTCTCGCCTATAGTATGTCCCGCATCTGTCGTGTTTGGAATAAACGATATAAGATATTTGAATATTTGGTGTACAACTGGTGTGTTTGTACTAGGTCAAGTGACACTTCATGTTTATATGATATTTTATTAGTTTTAAATATATCTTTCATCAATGTGAAATCATACACACGTATCATTAGTTTCAATGTATAATTTCGAGGATATATTAGAATATTTCACAATAATTCAGTATATTTCTGGGTTTAGTCATCCCAGCAAACGTACAGTATATTGTAAATAATCTTCTTTAATTTTCTAAAGAGGTGAGTCCGAATACTTTTTTGATTCATTAGTCTTGGTGCCATTAGGACTGCAACAAATGTAGAATGACATCTATTTTAAGTGCAATCTAATCTCAACTCGATCCTCGACGCTGACTCAGGTAGTAGCCTATTGTAATCCATCAACAGAGGATGTAAGTCATCAGTGGCGAATGTAATGTACTTATCGGCCACACCTCTTGTGTCTGTCACGTACTGCACCCTCACTCGCTATCATCACCCGTCACATTACTCTTCCACATTCATTTCTTACACTCTTACTACTGACTCACCTTAATCATCATTGATTGACGATAAAAATAAAGAGATGAAGAGAGTTTGTCTACAGGTTGTAGTTGTGAGTGAGTTATGGGGGTTAGGTATATTAGCTGTGTAACCTTGACAGAGTCCATTACAACTCTCCTTTTCCCCGCAGTTGTTGGATCAGTAATGGGGGAGCCAAGAAGTGTGGTAGTACACATGCCTCACCACAGCCATCATCCAGGTCATTAGTCTCCATTATCGGTATAACCCCTAAAACTCCAGAAGTCCTACGGCGACAGACGTGTGGAGACGGGGATAGGCAGAAAGGACAGCCAAGAGACCTTAATAACAACTCTGCACATGGGCGGCACAGATAAGGTAGTCTATGCATTAGGATCTAGGCATCAGTGCAATCCAGCCCTGTCTCTGCGACTGAGTAGCCCGTTTCAGGGACCACTCTGCTTACCCCACATGGGAAAGAGGCTAGAAATGGTGTCCTAAATATAGCCTGCCTATTACAACTCTCCTGACTGGGCAACCGCACTCAGTAAGGTCTTCCCAATACGAACAACTCCCAGTCGTTATGGTTGCTCACCAAAATTCATTGCCATTATGAGGCAACTCCACGATGGCATGGGCGGCAGTGTCCTACATAATGGCACCCAGTCGGGCCAGTCGAAGTTCTTCCCACCCAAATGGGGGTAAAACAAGGATCTGTACTGGCACCAACTGTCTTTTTACCTCCTACTTGATTGCCTTCCTTACTCGCGCCAGTGGCAATCTGATCAGAGGGGTAGACATCCAATAGCGGATGAAGTGACTTTTCAACAAAAGGCGATTCCAAGCAAGGACAAAGGTGTCAGCAGCATCCATCACATAACTCCAGTATATAGACGACCTCACCCTCGTCGATAACACTGAACAAGACCTACAGGAGATCCTGAGCTCCTACTCAGACTCGTATACACACTTCGGCCTCTAAATGAACGTATGCGAGAGAAAGTTTCCTTTCCAGCCCGATGAACAGATCCAATATCGGATAAGATATGCATTTCAGGTCTTTGGCAGACTACGAACCCGTGTCTTCTGCTGTAAGGAGTTGAAATTATCTACAAAGTTGCACGTATATCGAGCAGTGGTCCTCCCCACCCTGCTACATGGCAGGGAGACAGGAGTCACATACAGGACACACCTCACGGCACTTGAGAACTTTCACCAACGTAGTCTACGTTCCATCCTCCAAGACCGCTGAGAAGACAAGAGAACAAATGCCAGTATCCTCGCTGACACCAACTGTAGGAGCATCGAGGCTGATATTATCCATGATCAACTACGTTGGATTGACTACGTTACCGCACAGATTGTCAAAGCAGTTACTCTATGTCTGTAGCTATCTAATGAATGACAAACGAAATGCTGGCGGTCAGCGGAAAATATATAGTATAAGGATAGTCCTAGGACAAACCTAAAATAATACCAACACGTCTCCCTCAAATAAGAGACGATCAGTCTACACCGTAACGCCATATGAGGTGTTAATACTTTCGAGTTAGTTCGATTATATGTCGAGGTGGATAAACGCTAGCGCCTAACGATGTTGCCGCCGCCACTCCCGCACTAGACACAGGCCTCCACACGTACATCTGTGGGCGACCCTGTCCCGCAATGGCTTTTTAAGACACCTTAGAGTTTACCAACGAAAGTGACATCATTTAAAATCTCATATAATTCTGTCAGTGCTAGATGATCGCTACACTCGTTTCCGAGTGATAACAAAGTAGAGACAGTAATGTGTTTGTGCAAATAAACACACAACATCCCGAAATCAAAGTGCACAAGTGAATCCAAGAAGGAGGAAGGACGGGGAGAGGGTACATCACCAGAGATGTCTTGCCCCTCAGTGGAAAATAAATTAATTTTGCTTCCTAAAATTGTTTTACAAAGCCAACGAGAGAAATAAAACGGATGAAAACATAAGGTATTGTATTTTATTGTTTTTGTTGGAGAAAGAGAGAAGGGAGGAGGAAGGAGGGAAAAGAGGATTATCCATCCTTCTTCTGTGTCCGTGAGCTGCTGTTCGTAACTCTTGCATTGATTCTTCCAGGGTACTGCTGTGGCCAGTCTCTAACATGATTGTCGCTATAGACACCAAGACAGTCGCAGCCCCCGGAAGGTTCGAGGACATTTCGTCACCAGCCAATTCGTCACCTATTTAGTATTTACCTTACCTAACCTAATCTAACCTAACCTAACCCAACCATGGTTTCATTGCTTCCAAAATAGATATATTATTATTTAAATTTGATAAATATAACGCGGGATTCAATACCGGTGACGAAATGTCACCTCCCTTCGAGGCCCTGAGTGGCTCCCTAACTATGTTGAAGGTGAAGGGATAAACCCACTTTGTGTAAAGCACCCCCCCCCCCCACTGCCCATTTTGGAAGAGGTACCCACATCGTGTTGAAACTGTCTTTACCCATTTTAAGAAGGTGGCGGCCCTACACTGGTGCTGAGTACTCCCTGCTCAGGTCTGGAGAAAACAAACAAATTGTTTCAGGGTCCAGTATTACTGTAACTGTTGTTTCAATGACCGGCATTAGTGAGTCCCTTTAACTGGTAATATCTGCACTGTTAGTATCGTAGCAAATAGGGTTAAGTTATGGTACTGAGAGCTTAATGCGAATAATTGTACAACCAACAGACTCAGCAGAGGCTCAGTGAGGGAGAGTCTGGTGCTGAGGTTGAGTCTTCTCTGGCTGTGATGACCCATGACCTTACTTTTACTTTTAAACATATTACTACTTTGATGTGGTGAACTGAGGTGCAGCAGTGGGATCAACCTGGCTGGGTGTCCGGCGGGTCATTCTCAGGTACCTAATAGCTTACCAAATGATTTTAAGCAATAGATAAACAGTTAATGTTTTACCTACTTCCTCACTATCAACTTTACCCGAACCGACGGGCTGGAACAGGAAGTACCATCATTTATTCACTAAGGAAGATTTTCATTTTTTCATAAACCGACAAGAGCTCCAGGCTGGGAACTGACCACCCCAACACTTCAACACTAAAAAGGTTTGCCTAAAAAATGGGAAAATATTGTAGAGTAGATGGAAAGTGTTACTGAATATTGTGGTGTGTTAGGTGTGAGTCGACACTGGTTTGCCTCTAGTATTAAACAGGTATATGTGGATGGACGTGCAGGGTACATAGGACTGAGCGGACCAGTGGAAGAGAATGGGATAGAATGTGAGTAGGAGTGACACGAATGTTGTGGGTGTGTGAGAGGAAAGCAAGAGGTAGCGGGTGAGAGATGAATACTAGGTTACTCCATCATATTGCTCCGTTCTGGGTGTTTTTTTTGACTGTCACGACAGGTAGAGAGAGAGAGAGAGAGAGAGTGTGTGTGTGTGTGTGTGTGTGTGTGTGTGTGTGTGTGTGTGTGTGTTTTGATCATTATATCCATGAGCACAACTTATTGACACGTATCTTAAAAGCCAGTCTATGAAGTTGACTCACTGGTTACTCAAAAAAGCTAGTTTATTCATAGTGAGGTGAAGAGGGCATCTCTGGGATTGTCTCGAGAGAAAACACCAGCCAAAAAGTTCTCACAGATCGGGTGAGAGAAGATAAGTTTAATCTCTACCATTTGATATCAGGATATAGTATGTGAACCACAATGGTCCCCATCCTGCGGTTTGAGATCTGCATGCGGATCCAGAACTGTTTGGTGTAGTTTTCGAACCTTTCCATAAAATGTTTGTTACATTAAACTTCACGAGTCTTTTATTATTTGATTGATGTTCTGACAAGAGTATTGAAATAAATTCCTACATATAAGGGTGATAATTTTTTTTTCACAATTAAATCTATTAAACTAGTAATTAGATAAGAAACTAATTTATTCACTTTCGTATTGTCAAGTGCAGCTCTCGTCATACATCTGACCCGCCCACTTTACATGAAAAATACAATATAACCCTTATGTAATATATAAATTAGATAAATACCGTAGAGAAAGTATTGGTAAGGCTCAGTATAGTGTAACGTAAATAAAGGTATAATGATGACTAGCTTCAAGTGTAATTGTGAGCATAAGAAAATAAATAATAACTGATACCGTCATCTACCGCACCTTCTTGATCTCTATACATTTTCTAGAACTCCTCCTATTATATACCTCTCTCCTCCTACTCCTTCTCATCTCCTCTCCTGCTCCTTCTCTTCTTCCTACTCCTTCTTATCCTCCTCATCATCCTTTTCTTCATTCTATTCCTTCTTTTTTTCCTCTTTACTTCTCTTCCTCCTCCTACTTCTCCTCTTGCCCCTCCTCTTACTTTTCTTCCTTCTCTTTCTTCTCTTACTTCTCTTCCTCCTCCTCTTTCTCTTTCACTTCTTCCTTCTCCTCCTCCTCCTCCTCTTCCTCTTCCTCTTTTTCCTCTTCCTTTTCCTCCTTTACCTATTTAACCACATTTTTCCTTCCCTTTCTCATTTTCTCCATCCACACACTCGACTCTCATGACTCCACCACAAACAGTACCAAACACTCAGAAATTCTCTCCCATCTAAATTTAACGAGAGAGAGAGAGAGAGAGAGAGAGAGAGAGAGAGAGAGAGAGAGAGAGAGAGAGAGAGAGGTGAAACGTATTGCTGTTGACCTGTTAATTAGGTAGGTAATGAAATTCAGGTGTATATCACTATCTATATTTTCTAATTATAATGTGTTAATTTGTCAGCTATGAAGGTATGTACAGTAAAGAGGTAAGAAATTGGGAGTGAACTTGGCGGAGATCCAGCAGGTTCCTATCTATTTATCGGCTACGTGGGAAGACTGTGGGAATGATGGAACAAGGTGGGTGGAGGTGGGTGGTAGTGGGCCAGGGGTGGTGGTGGTGATGGGGGGGTGTGTGGTGTGGGGGTGTGGGTAGTGGGGGGGTGATGGGGTGTAGTGGGGGTGGTGGATGGGGGTGTGGTGGTGGGGAGTGTGGTAGTGGGGTGATGGGGATGTGTGGGGTGGTTGGGGGTGTGTGGTGGTGGGGGTGTAGTAGTGGGGGTGATGGGGTGTAGTGGGGGGTGGTTGGGTGTGTGGTGGTGGGGGTGTGTAGTGGGGGTGATGGGGGGTGTGTAGAGGGGTGGTTGGGGGTGTGGTGGGGGGGTGTGGTGGTGGGGGGTGTGGTGGTGGGGGTGATGCAGGTGTAGTGGGGGTGGTTGGGTGTGTGGTGGTGGGGGTGTGGTAGGGGGTGATGGGGGTGTAGTGGGGGTGGTTTGGGGTGTGTGGTGGTGGGGGTGGGGGAGGGTGGGGGGTGTGGGGGTGGTTGGGGGGTGTGGTGGTGGGGGTGTGGTAGTGGGGGGGTGATGGGTGTATGGGGGGTGGTTAGAGGGGTGGGGTGTGGTAGTGGGGAGTGATGGTGGTGGGGGTGGTTGGGGTGTATGGTGGTGGGGGTGTGGTGGTGGGGGAGGATGGGGGTGTGTGGGGGTGGTTGGGGTGTGTGGTGGTG